CTGGATTATTTATAGTCTGGAGGGTTAGGATATTCTCTCTCACCTGACCTGGAGAAACATCCATTGTATCGAGGGTCCGTTAGAAGTAAAAAAATCCCCATTTAACGAATTATATAGAGATTAAATTCCGTTATATCGAGGGTCCGTTAGATATGAACCCTCCCCATTTAAGGAACTATAAACAGAGAGGAAAAAAATCCATTATTTTTGTTAAAGAAAGTAGAATTCCTCCATTCCTAAATATTCACCTCCAAACTACGTAAAATAAGAATGAAATCCAATAGGTAACTTGTCGCCATATTCTTCGTCAACGAGGTGATATTCTGACACACTATAGCCCCTCAGGAGACAATAAGGGCTCATATTCCTTGTCACCCCACGTTAAAAGTCCACATTATTACCCGGCATAAGAGACATAATGGACACGTCACGAGAGGGATACACACGGCCCCACCTGTGACAAGACTTCATGGTACAACACCTCATCAATCCGAGACGAGATGATAACAAAAGTAAATAAAAATCTCTATTTAACGGACTATATGAAGAAAAAAGTCCGTTATATCAATGGGCCGTAAGATGTGAGACCTTCATCTAACGGAGAAGGAAGTCCGTTATGTCGAGGGTCTGTTAGATGTGAAACTATATCGAGATGAGAGTCCGTTAAATGAGAAACCCCATTTAACGGATTATATATAGAGGTCCGTTATATATGATACCCCCTATTTAACGGATTATATATAGAGAAGTCCGTTATATGGAGGTTTCACTGTCGTTACGATTGTGGTGAATAGAGACGAAAGGGAAAAAAACCCCTCAAATTCATGATGTTGACGCCGAGGTTAGGTTACGTTACGTTACGTTACGTTACATGTTATTTCTCTGTCCTGATGCACACAGTCACAGCAACAGTGGGGGGGAGAAAGCGTCATCATCCTTCTTTCTCTCTCACACACACACACACACACACACACACACACACACACACACACACACACACACACACACACACACACACACACACACACACACACACACACACACAAAACAACACACACACACATCTTAAGAGACGGTATAAAAATATGTTTGTGTTCCCGGTTGGAGAAAACCCTTGTTGGGCAGGTGCTTTGTGTGTGCCAGTGTTTAATGTTCCTCACCACTACCACCACTATCACCACCACCACCACTATCACCACCATTCCTATCACTACCACCACCACTCACCTCACCACCACACCACCACCACCACCACCACTACCACAACAACTACCACCACTACTACCACCACTACTACCACCACTACATTCTACAGTCATGCCAACAGTATCACCAGGGGACAGATCTATCTCCGGGTTGCGTTATGTATATACAGTACAGTACAGTGCTTCAGTAACCCCCTCTATACATCTGAGTAATTGCCACCCACCACCCCCTGTCAAACGGCTGGGTGGCGGTGGTTCTGCTTGACTGTTTGCCTGCTTGTTTACCTCTCTATCTTACCTGCTTGCTTGGGTATTATGGTATTTACACCCGCTTATTTCCCAACCTGCCTCCCTGCTTGGCCTGCCGGGTGGTGGTGGTGGTGGTGGTATATACGCCTGCTTGCTTGCCTGCTTGCCTGCCTGGACCCGCCGACAGCTACCCACTAATAGGATGTACTCTCCGTAAGATAAGATAGAACAATGACCCATAACAGTGAATCACGCGGCGACCATTATCTTGTCCCCACTCTCTCTCCAAAGATAAAATGCAAGACGTTGTTTCAGAGTACCCGGCCTCACCCAGAAAGGTAGGGATGGGGAGGTAAGGAGTTAGGAAAGGAAGGGGGGGAAGGGATAAGGGGGAGGGAAGGAAGGTGGAGGGAAGGAAGGGAGGGCAACATCATGAACTGCTAAGGCGGATTTCTGAATGACTAAGAAGAAAAGAGACATACACACACACACACACAGTCCTTGGATCGATAAGACAAACAGACACGTGTGATTTTCTCTCTCTCTCTCTCTCTCTCTCTCTCTCTGTTGACCATTCTCACCTGTAGTATTGACTCTCAACAGGTAATATTTTTAATTGATTTTTTCTCTTCTGTTTAGTGTTTAGTTAGATTCTTTGTGTTTTGTTTTGTTCATTTATCATCTTCATTCCTGTATCTATTGCGTTAGTCATTTGTTCTTGTGCCTCATCATATTTATTCTTGAGTTTATTGCGTTTGTCATTTTTTTTTTCCTTTTTTTTTCTCCACTAACATCGTCATTCTTGGATCTACTGCGTTTGTCCTTTGTTTTTCTTTTGTTTAGATTCTCCTGTAACATCTTCAATCCTATATTACGTTTTTCATTTGTTTTTGTTTTCTTATTCCTTCTCCTTTATCATTTTCATTTTTTAGTTTATTGCGTTTGTCAATTGTTTTTTTTGTTTGTTTTTCTTTCCTGATCGTCTTCATTCCTGAATTTATTGCGTTAGTCATTTGTTTTTTTAATTTTCTTACCTGATCATCGTCATTCCTGAATTTATTGCGTCTATCATTTGTTTTCCTTGTTGTTTTTTCTCTCGTTCACCATCTTTAATCCCTGCTTTAATAAGACGACCTGCCGCTAGTCCAGGTGCACACAAGGAGAAGGTAAATCTCTACCTAACAACCTTGGTTCCAATCTTGACTTGGCCATTCCCAGCCTAACAGTTTGCGATGAAAATTACGTTATATTGCCTTTAAGATCGAAGTCGGATATCTAGAAGAGGAAGAGGAGGTGGTGGAAGGAATAGAAGAAGGGAAGGAGGGAGAGTAGGAGAAGGGGAGAAAGGGAAGGAGGGAGAGTAGGAGAAGGGGAGAAAGGGAAGGAGGGAGAATAGGAGAAGGGGAGAAAGGGAAGGAGGGAGAATAGGAGAAGGGGAGAAAGGGAGGTAGGAAGTGGAGGGGGTGGGAGGGTAGACCAGAGAGAAGGGGAGAGGGAGAGGGAGGGAGGGAAGGAAGGAGGGAAAAATTTCTTGAAGATTGTCTACATATTGAAGAAGTTATCGTTTGGAATGTTTTGCTGTCATTTCTACTCTGTTCTGTTCTGTTCAAGTAGAGTCTCATTATCACTACTATCATCCCCACTTAACACCAGTTTAGAATCAACAATCAAGAGGAGGATCTAACCTTTAATTCTCTAGTACAGTATAATTATATGTTTTTTTTTACCTGGTACTAATTAGCGACTCAGGTAAAGGTAAGTCTTGGTGTTTATAGTTTTGTCTGTGCTTATTTTTGACGTGAGTTTTGTGATTAACCTCAAGTGAAGTAATTACCTTCTCTTTTACATCTTGACTAACGAGAAAATTAACTAACTTATGAACCTTTGATAATATGATACCTTTAGAATTACCCAAATATTAAGAATAGTTTATATCAGGTAAAATAGTCAGTAAATCTCTATCAAAACAGCGTGGTCTCCTAACCTAACCTAACCTGACCTGACCTATCCTAACCACTCCTGACCTGACCTGACCTATCCTAACCACTCCTGACCTGACCTGACCTAACCTATCCTATCCTAACCACTCCTGACCTGACCTGATCTAACCTATCCTAACCACTCCTGACCTGACCTAACCTATCCTATCCTAACCACTCCCAACCTAACCTGACCTGACCTAACCTGACCTCTTATCAAAACAACATGATCGTCATCCTCAGCAGTAAGTTGATTGAGAGAGAGCGAGAGTAAACAACACCTGAGAGAGAAATTAACTGAACTACTCGGTAAACTCTCTCAGTAAACTCTCTCAGTAAACTCTCGGTAAACTCTTTCAATAAACTCTCACTAAACTATCAGTAAACTCTTAGTAAACTATCTCAATAAAGCCTCAATAAACTCTCAGTAAACTCTCATTAAACTCAGTAAACTCTCTCAGTAAACTCTCAATAAATTTAGTAAACTCTCAATAAACTCTCAATAAACTTAGTAAACTCTCAATAAACTCAGTAAACTCTCTCAGTAAACTCTCAATAAATTTAGTAAACTCTCAATAAACTCAGTAAACTCTCAGTAAACTCTCAATAAACTCAGCAAACTCTCAAAAACTCAGTAAACTCAGTAAACTCTCAATAAACTCAGTCAACTCTCAGTAAACTTAGTAAACTCTCAATAAACTCAGTAAACTCTCAGTAAACTCTCTCAGTAACTCAGTAAACTCGGCCCAAACAACCTGCAAACACCATTGGAAAAATACAAGAGGGAGTTTTTTTTACTACCTTGGACACGTCTGGCAAATTAGAATTAGCAAACGAAGTGAATCTCTGCAAGGACTGAGGGGGGAGGTGGGTGGATAGGTGAGTGGGAGGGGGTGGATAGATGAGTGGGAGGTTGGGTAGGTGAAGGGGAGGGGGTGGATAGATGAGTGGGAGGTTGGGTAGGTGAGTGGGAGGGGTGGATAGATGAGTGGGGAGGTTGGGTAGGTGAGTGGGAGGGGTAGGTGGAGGGAGGTGAGGATAGAGAGTGGGGAGGTTGGGTAGGTGAGGGAGGGGGTGGATATAGATGAGTGGGAGGTTGGTAGGTGAGTGGGGGAGGGGTAGGTGAGTGGAGGTGGAGGATAGATGAGTGGGGAGGTTGGGTAGGTGAGTGGGAGGGGGTGGATAGATGAGTGGGAGGTTGGGTAGGTGAGTGGGAGGGGTAGGTGAGTGGGAGGTAAGGATAGATGAGTGGGAGGTAGTGGGGGTGATGGGTGGGAGGTTGTGAATGGGTGAGTGGGAGGGAGCAATGGAGGAGAAGGAGGCGAGAGGGAGAGGATAATTGAGAAAGTGTCCTAATGTTCCTCATCTCTCCTCAGCAAGTGTCCTAATGTTCCTCATCTCTCCTCAGCAAGTGTCCTAATGTTCCTCATCTCTCCTCAGCAAGTGTCCCATCGTTCCTCATCTCCTCAGAAAAGTGTCCTAATGTTCCTCATCTCTCCTCAGCAAGTGTCCTAATGTTCCTCATCTCTCCTCAGCAAGTGTCCTAATGTTCCTCATCTCTCCTCAGCAAGTGTCCTGGATGAGGAAGAGAGACCTACATGTCCTCAGTTCCGGTCTCGTGGTCTTTGCCTCAGACCAACGCTTCCAGGTACGTGTCTAGATGTCCGTGTACGTGTGAAGTAAGTCAAGATTATCATGTACGTGTCAAGTATGTCTCCAGAATCCCATGTACGTGTCAAGTATGTCTCCAGAATCCCATGTACGTGTCAAGTATGTCTCCAGAATCCCATGTACGTGTCAAGTATGTCTCCAGAATCCCATGTACGTGTCAAGTATGTCTCCAGAATCCCATGTACGTGTCAATACAGTAGTAATAGTAGTAATAGTTAGTAATAATAATAGCTGTTGTAATACTAGTAATACCAAAAACAGTAATAATTATAATACTAATAATCATCATCATCATCATCATCATCATCATCATCATCATCATCATCATCATCATCATCATCACCACCACCACCAACATCAACAACAATACAACTTTACACTATCAAATATCTTCACTACACTTCAAGTTCCTCAAGAGATGTTCACTATATAGAGACTCAAACCCACAGGTATCTCATAGTAAAGGTGTGTGTGCCTCTCTCTCCAACAGGTGATCCATCCAGAGAGGTCAGAGAACTGGACACTACAGATTAAATATGCCCAAATGAGAGACGCCGGTGTGTATGAATGTCAAGTCAACACTGTACCCAAGATCTCCATGTCCTATGTTCTCAACGTCGTAGGTAAGTGCCTATTATGTTTGTCTTAGGTGTTTGGTGCCCTAGATATCCTCATTATCGTCTTAACCTAACCTAAGTTAACCTTAAATTAACCTTACCTTACCTAACCTAACCTTAGTTAACCTTAAATTAACCTTAAATTAACCTTACCTTACCTTACCTTACCTTACCTTACCTTACCTTACCTTACCTTACCTTACCTTACCTTACCTTACCTTACCTTACCTTACCTTACCTTACCTTACCTTACCTTACCTAACCTTACCCCTCCAGGTAGTAGTGTTAAGGTGTTTAATCATCAGGTGAAATAACCTAGGGTGGGGTGTCTAATCTTCACATGATCCTGCTAAAATAACGTTCTTAAATAATTATATGATATACTTATCTAACAAAACATAAAGTCATTATTTCATTATTTATCAAACACATATCACCCCAAATTAAACACCTAATATGTTAATTTCCTGAATATCACCTGTAATTGCATCATTATTACGTAAGGTAAAAAGTGGGCAGGTATATACGCAGTTACATCAGCTAAAGCAGAATTCTACCACAGGAACTCAGCTAAAGTAGAATGACAGACAGACAGACAGATAGATGGGTAATATCCAGGGCTTCTCACATACACGAGAATTGTAATGTCGTGTCGTAATTATAAACGTGAAAACGAAAAACAACTTTAATCCCATTCCCCCGGCGCCTCAATGAATCCTCAAAGAGAAATTAGAACTGCTTTATCCACACACACACACACACACACACACACACACACAGCAGGTTTCATAACACGTAATATATAACAAACTTTTATACACAAAATATATACCATTACGTAATTTTCACTGTTTTAGTTATAACACCTGTGTTACCTTATATTAAAATGACGACTACACCTGGAAATAGAATATAATTGAGAAATATAATACTATAACTAATTTAACATTAAACGAATACTAAAACAAATTACAAAAGTATAATAATAAATTAATAAAACCCCATTAAAACTAACTCTTACTTTGATACCTGCACTTTTTTTGTTACCTTTCCTCATTTGTATATTCTCAGGTATTCATTAAGAAGGTCAACAGGTAGGCGGTGAGTGAGTCAGGTGAGATGGGATAATATTTTTCCAGGTATAAAACTCTACACTCACTTGATTTACCTCTTAAGATTGAGGAAATAAGCGAATATTAAACCCTTAAGTGAGCTAATTAGTCGCTTATTAGCGTGAGTAATTAAAGAAATGATATATAATGAGATAGGAAGTTGCATTATGTTTTTTTTTCTCTTTTGCTTGTGTTTTTCTTTAGTAGTTTAGTGTCATATATTATTCCTAGTATGGGTAATATTTCTAGCACCTGACAGTCATCCCTAGCACCTCGTACAGTCATCCCTAGCACCTCACACAGTCATCCCTAGCACCTGACAGTCATTTCTAGCACCTCAGTCATCCCTAGCACCTCACACAGTCATCCCTAGCACCTCACACAGTCATCCCTAGCACCTCACACAGTCATCCTAGCACCTCACGGATAGTCATTTCTAGCCTCACACAGTCATCCCTAGCACCTCACACAGTCATCCCTAGCACCTCACACAGTCAGCACCTGATAGTCCCTCAGTCATCCTCACAGTCAGTCATCCCTAGCACCTCACACAGTCATCCCTAGCACCTCACACAGTCATCCCTAGCACCTCACACAGTCATCCCTAGCACCTCATACAGTCATCCCTAGCACCTCACACAGTCATCCCTAGCACCTCACACAATCTTAGTCACCTCTTACACTACACACGCACACACTCAATCATCCTAGCGCCTCACACAGGTATCCCTTATCCCTCATCCCTCACACCTCTCAACATCACCCAGGGTTAGGACCAAGACAGTTCTATACCCAGGGTTATGAAGGCTCACAACTCACCTGCCACCACTCTAAATTCAAATTTCCTTAATTTTTCACCTGTCGTTTTGGAAGATTCAACCTTGTCCCTGACGTTTACGAGCAGGAAGGTGGCAGGACGCTAGCTGAGCTCTTCCCCGGGAACTTGACGCCCCTCTTGAGGGCTAAATTTAGAAGGTGACCGTCAACCAACCCGGCCTTGCCTCTCGTGACACCTACTCTTACACCTGACTGCTCACCTCGTCCAGGTGTTCCCCCTCATATTTTTAACTGGATGAACTAGAAAGAGGGAATTCTTACTTCGTCTCTCCAAAAACCGCCTGATGTTGTTTTTTTAGAAATTATATGATCGATGGTTGATATTAAATTTACACCTACCTGTTTTTTATGGAGTTAATGAGTAAGGGGAAAATCTTGTGTTAGAACATTAATGAAAGGTATTGATAGTAATGTTTACTTTGGTGTGTTTCTTACCTGTTGAGATAAAGTTTGAACGTTACGGTAATTAGTAGTCAAGAGTAATTAAGTAGTGGTACTAAGTAATTTATTTATGTGTTTAATAAATCTTGAAGGAATAATTCAACTTTTGTTATATTATAAGAGACATCCTTGGATTATCACTTGCTTGAACCCATAATAATTCATAATTCTAAAAGATCCATAACTAGTAATTAATGATATGTGCTAGTTACTGATGTCATTCTAGTTAATCATGACATAACTCGGGGTTTACGATAAGTCTGTTGGCTGAGATTTCCTACACATCAATCAATCAGAGTACCGTCTTCATATCTGAGGGTTGGCGACCACAGTCCTTCACTCTAAATGTTCTCAGGCTGTTTTTACCAATCCTCCAAGGTTTAGTATATCTCCGGGGACCCAATCTTTAATTTCATTCATCCATCCCAGTTTCTGCCTCACCCTGGCCCTCCTACCATCGACTTTACCCATTAATATTTCTGTTATTACTCCCTCATCCCTAATTATATGACCAAAGTATCTTATTTTTCCTTGTCTGTACATTTCAAGTATTTCTCTGAAGTTTTTGCTAATATTATTACTTCTTCTTTTTGTTTTCTTACACATAGAGACAAAATATATAATTATCTAATGATTAAACCTTTCGTTAAAATCATCTTATAAAATTAAAATATTATAGAAAGATAAGCAGGTTTTTTTGATGATTTTCCCCACCTGATGTCACCATTTGTGTGTGTGTGTTAACCGCTGAGGAATACATTATTGATATACTCATATCCTTAAAAGATGGATTTCTGGGAATGCCTGTATCCCTTGGGACTTTCTTGAGATATTCTAGGAAAAAAAATATAGTTTCTGTTAGTTACAAGGCCCCCCTCCCTAAGGTCAGAGAGTACAGAGCAGCGCAGACGCTTCCGATGGCAATTTTCATGATATACTTTGCCTCTCGGTCTCCAGAGCTTTTATACCAACTTTGTATAAGGTGCGCCAAAAGCTGTAGGAAAAGTCAAAGGCCAGTATGAAGGATATATTATTTTTTTTTTACTTGCTTTGTGGTTTATTAACGTTCACTGAAGTTCATTAACGTATTTTAATGTTCACCTTGTTTCATCAGGACGCATACTAACGATCGTACTCTTTGCTCGTACTCGTTTTCGTACTCAACCTCTTCCTTGTACTCATACTCGTACCTTTAAATCATAAGAAGCTTCAGGTGATGTAGTGAGAGTACAATTATGTTAAGTATTATTATTATCATTATTATTAAACCTTTGTTCCGTTCTTGAGGTATTTTGTTACTTCCTCTTCAATATCAGGTCATGGCTTTAACCTTTGACCTTTCCTGACTTAGAACACAGTGGCAGATTTTAAACCTTTGTCTTTCTGAATACATAGATACACAAACATGTACCAACCTGTGAACGTTATATATCACTCTCCGTCTATGAGTTATACAGGTGGACAAACATAACCTTTACTAACAATGTGACCGTAACTTTTTCACCTGACAACAACACATCAGGTTATAGAGTGGATATCATGGTAAATTATGTATCGACTATAAACATTGTATAGTTTTATTTCTGTTTCTCATTGGATGTTATGACCTCCTAGTGTTGTTTACGTGTCAAGGGTAACTATGCCTATCGTGGTCTACGGTTCTTTCTTGTTCTGACTATCCTGCAGGAGCTCTGATAGTTGTGTGGTTGTCATAGTAATTGTAATGTAAAAATAATAATATCTTAAACGATTTGGTGTTAATATTGATACAATGGGCGAAGGAAGAGGAGGAGGAGGAGGAGGAGGATTTTGATAACCTTACCGAGACAATAGGAGTCGAGGTGTTACATTTATTAGCTCACCCACACACAGACACACACACACACAGACACACCCACACCAACACACATACACACCAACATTTTCACCAACATCTTCTCTCCAATGCTCTCACCAACATATTCACTAGCTCACACACAAACTACTTCACCAACACACACTCTCCAACACTCACCACCACATTCACTTGCTCATTCACCAACACTCTCCCCAACTCCCTTCTCTGTCCTGACGTACACCGTGTAAGTGCTAAAGCCACTACTGTTGTCACAGAATTCAGTGCTTTTATAAGGCAGGTAGTAGGTAGTCTGATGCTATCAAACGGAGGTACGACCGCCTGGGAAGATATTGGAAACAGAATGTGTTGTAATGGTAGACCCTGCTGCCATATGACATCACGAAAACTGTGACCAAGTCCCAGGTTGCTTATCTGACTTTCTGCCTCATTTACACACAATTGCAGGGTCTCAATTGTTTCTCTTACTTTGACAACACAACATACATAATGTATATCGTTTCTCAATCTTGATTTATTTTTTTCACTTTTGTATTTATTTATGGTTATTATTATTTATATTATATTTTTTATTTATTAATTATTATTATTATTATTATTATTTTATTATTATTATTATTATTATTATTATTATTATTATTATTATTATTATTATTATTATTATTATTATTATTATTATTATTATTATTATTATTATTATTATTATTATTATTATTATTATTATTATTATTATATTATTATTATTATTATTATTATTATTATTATTATTATTATTATTATTATTATTATTATTATTATTATTATTATTATTATTATTATTATTATTATTATTATTATTATTATTAGTATTATTATTATTATTATTATTATTATTATTATTATTATTATTATTATTATTATTATTATTATTATTATTATTATTATTATTATTATTATTATTATTATTATTATTATTATTATTATTATTATTATTATTATTATTATTATTATTATTATTATTATTATTATTATTATTATTATTATATTATTATTATTATTATTATTATTATTATTATTATTATTATTATTATTATTATTATTATTATTATTATTATTATTATTATTATTATTATTATTATTATTATTATTATTATTATTATTATTATTATTGTATTATTATTATTATTATTATTATTATTATTATTATTATTATTATTATTATTATTATTATTATTATTATTATTATTATTATTATTATTATTATTATTATTATTATTATTATTATTATTATTATTATTATTATTATTATATTTTCGCCCCCCACAGCGTAGTCACAATCTGTGTTTACAACTTATCTGCTGCAGTAGTTCAACCTGTAAAACTCTCTAGCAGTTCAATATGTAGGATCGAATTCTCTCTTATGTGTGGTATTCTGATTTCAATAGTTTTCTTTTATCTAATTTATATTGTTTCCCCGAATGATGAAAAAAAACCAAGGTAAAGCAGTATCGTTCGCCTAACAATATTTACAACTTGTGTCACGTTTGTTGTCGTTCGCAGGTTATTACAGGTGTATGAACCGTATTGTAAACAGATCCAGGTTGTAGTTTTTTTTTCCTTTTATTAACACTTGAAGCTTGTTAACTTGTCACGGTCCAAAGTGATGAAACACAGGTAGAGGAACGAGTCTTTGAACTTGAACTTACCTTGACTGTGACCTGGTGCGGGTGGCTGTTGTTTTTATATCATTTGGGGGTCGATACTAATTCAATTTTGCGAGGGAGTGAACTTTTGACCCGGAATGTACGTAAAGAAGCTTCACATCTAACGGACTGATTCTCTATATAACGAACTTCTCTTTCCATATAATCCGTTAGATGGAGGTTTCATATCTAACTGATCCTTGATATAACGGACTTTCCTCTAATTTTAGTCCGTTAAATAGAGGTTTCACTGTAAAAAACCAATCTGTACATGGGGTGATCGATGATTTACAGAATGAACACTACGATTCCTCTTGTCTCGGTAGAGTTGTCAAAATCCTTTGTCCGTTGTGTTATATTTTCAAAACACAAATTTGTATAAGTATTTTTTTATTTTTTAGACACTTTAGCTACACGTGTTAATTCTTATACCTCAGTCATAACAAGTAAATAATAATTCATTCATACCTAAACTAAATTCTGGTTTGTTTTTTTAGAATAAATATGTAAATTGTTGTTTATTCATGTGACAGGAGGAGATGAGGATGTGGTGGGGAGAAGAAGGGTTGGTGGGGGTGGGAGGAGGGTTGTGGGGGGTGGGAGGGGTAAAGATGCAAAAAGCAAGAGTTATTTTATTGTGCGTGATTATACTTTTTTTCTCTCTCTCTCTCTCTCTCTCTCTCATCTCCTAGGCACTGAATAAACACCAATACATCAGTAATATATAAACACATTAAATTACTCAACCCTTTATAACTCTTGATCTGGAATAAATTAATCGTACAGAATGAAAAGAAAAAAAAAACTCGTGAAAAAAACAAACAAAACTCGATTTGAAATTTAATGAATACTTTTTTTTCTGTTTTTTTCTATTATAAATTAACGGACAGACAGACAGACAGACAGAGGGGAAAAAACATAGACAGCGGGAGACAGACAGACAGACACAGAGAGGCAGGTAGAGAGTCAAAAAGAGACAGACAGACAGAGCCAAAAAGTGATAGACAGACAGACAGCTAGAGACAGGCAGATGGACAGACAGACAGACAGAGAGCCAAAAAGTGATAGACAGACAGACAGCTAGAGACAGGCAGATGGACAGACAGACAGACAGAGAGCCAAAAAGAAACAGACAAACAGACAGAAGACAGACACCAGACAGACAGACAGACAATAAAACAGACAGACAGATAGACAGACAAACAGATAGGCAGACAGACAGACAGACAGACAGGGAGACAGACAGGGAGAGATGTACCCCTCTGGTATTATTTACCTTGTCAATATCTTCAGGGACTCCCAGATAGCCGGACCCTCAGAATAGGGCTTAAATTCCTCTAATTCGGTCTTGAACTGCCTGTCTGTCTGTCTGTTTCCGTGTGTATGACAAATGTTACATCTCCTTTATGTACAGATGTAGACAGACAGACAGACAGACAGACAGACAGACAGACAGACAGACAGACAAAGACAGACAGACAGACAGACAGACAGACAGACAGACAAAGACAGACAGACAGACCGACTGTATATTATTTACTTCTTGAATTTCTTTCTTCACATCAAGGTCAAAGGGAAGGTCACAAAGGTCAAAAAGATGGTCACAAGGAAGGTCACAAGGAAGGTCAAAGGGAAGGTCACAAGGAAGGTCAAAGGGAAGGTCACAAGGAAGGTCAAAGGGAAGGTCACTAAGGAAGGTCAAAGGTTAATTATCTGATCTTGTGTTGACAGAGGCTCGGTCGGTCATCCTGGGACCTGAATATGTCAAGGCTGGCAGCACCATCAATCTCACCTGTGTCATCAACCAGTTCAACATGCCAGGTACGTCATCAATCTCACCTACGTCATCAATCTCACCTACGTCATCAATCTCACCTGCGTCATCAACCAGTTCAACATGTCAGGTACGTCATCAATCTCACCTGTGTCATCAACCAGCTCAACATGCCAGGTACGTCATCAATCTCACCTGTGTCATCAACCAGCTCAACATGCCAGGTACGTCATCAATCTCACCTGTGTCATCAACCAGTTCAACATGTCAGGTACGTCATCAATCTCACCTGTGTCATCAACCAGTTCAACATGCCAGGTACGTCATCAATCTCACCTGTGTCATCAACCAGTTCAACATGCCAGGTACGTCATCAATCTCACCTGTGTCATCAACCAGCTCAACATGCCAGGTACGTCATCAATCTCACCTGTGTCATCAACCAGTTCAACATGTCAGGTACGTCATCAATCTCACCTGTGTCATCAACCAGCTCAACATGCCAGGTACGTCATCAATCTCACCTGTGTCATCAACCAGCTCAACATGCCAGGTACGTCATCAATCTCACCTGTGTCATCAACCAGTTCAACATGCCAGGTACTTCATCAACCAAGTACGTCACCTGATAAACGTGTCATCAATAAGATCCACATTCTAGTTGTACCAGGAGACTCATTAACCAACGCTTACCTCCTCATTAACCACTACTATTTACCTCCTAACTATCACTATCTCACCACTAACTATCACTATCTCCCCACTAACTATCACTATCTCCCCACTAACTATCACTATCTCCCCACTAACTATCACTACTACCACAAAATCGACTACTGTACAGTAAAACCACAATAATAACGGATTTCTCTCTCCATTATAATCCGTTATATGGAGGTTTCACATCTAACGGAACCCTGAATAGTCTTTTATCTTCATATAGTTCATTACATAGTGGTGTTACATCTAACGGATTACCTCAATATAACGGAATTCCGCTATAGTCCGTTAATTAGAGTTTTATCTTCCGGCACAGGTTTGGTGTTTTGGTACCACAATCAGAAGATTATGGATTACGAGGGACCTGTTAAGATCACCACTCGGGAGGACCAGGAGGGGACAGTTTCTCACCTGACCATCGAAAAGGCTACACCTGACGACTCCGGTAATTACACCTGCTGACCCACCTCTGCACATCCCACCTCAGTCATCGTCAACGTGCTGCAAGGTGAGTGACTGAGAGGTACTGCAAGGTGAGTGACTGTCAGGGTGAGGTATTGCAAGGTTAGTGACTGTTAACTGAGGTACTGCAAGGTGAGTGACTGTCAGGTGAGAGGTACTGTTAGGTAGAACTGAATCCCTCACTCTGATTTGAATTGTTCTAGTTAATCATAGTTTTGGTTGAAGGGTTTATTTGATGAGGTTAGGTTAGGTTAAATCATGTTTAGATTCAGTTAAGTTAGATTAGTTTGGGTTAGGTTAGGTTTGGTTAGGGTAGGGTGAGTTAGTTTAGTTTAGGGTAAGTTAGGTCAATTTAGGTCAGTTTAAGTTTGGTTTATTGTCTGTCAGAGTCTGTGTGTCACTCTGTCGCCGGCCATGTAGTGTATGTATGTATGTATGTATGTATGTATGTATGTATGTATGTATGTATGTATGTATGTATGTATGTATTTATGTATGTATGTATGTATGTATGTATGTAAACCATCCAAGGTTATACACAGGTAACAAATATTCCTAGAGAGGTCATAACACACCTGTAAATCACCTTAATTCAATCTCATTATTCAATTAACTTTATCTACCTTACTATCATCATTCATAGTCCACTGGAACTAAAACACTCACGTCACCTCTTACAAGTTACACATATAAGATTGATTGTATATGTAAAACGACACATCAACTTCACTCCTGGCTGATAAACACATTGAAATCGTTGGAAGGAAACTCGAGCCTCCCAAGACTCTGTCAAGGCAAAGAAGTAGTGAGAATTCAGGCAGCCGTCACCCGTGTTGCGTCGAGTTTTACTGAATTGTTGATGAAATGAAATGCACAGCAGCAACCACAGGGGACAGAGTGTGACGGTCAGATGGAGTGAGCTGGCAGGGGAGAGAGTGAGTCAGTGGGGGGTGGATGATGGAGACTCTAGGTATATCAAATGTCATAAGAAGGAGAGAGAGAGAGGGGGGGTGGAGGACTGAGGGAGATAGAGAGAGGAGGGAAAGAGTGAGAGAATGACAGTAGAGAGAGGAGGTAGGAGACACACACACACACTTACACAGAGAGAGAGACAGGTAGACAGACAAAGAGAGAGAGAGAGAGAGGATCAGGTAACATTGTAGTAGGGAAACAAATATGTTAGTTCTTTCGACAGTGTTTGATTTAGCTCAGTGGTTCATAGACTGGAGGGCGCTGTGATATATCAAGAGGAGAGGGTGAGGGAAGGAAGGAGTGAAGAAGGGAGAGAGTGAGGAAGGGAGAGATTGATGAAAGGAGACAGTGGGGGGAAGGAGGGGGTGAGTAAGTGAAGGAGGGAGTAAGAGAGGGAGGGAGGAAGGAAGAGAGTGAGTGAGTGTAAAAGTCAGAGCCACTGAAATAATGCGAACAAGTATTATCAACTCTTCACAAATTCCACACATAATAATCGTCAATTTCTTTAACTTTATCTTCTACTCTAAATATTAAGTTTATATGTGGTTATTATTGAATAAAATAGAAGCATATTGTTTGTTTACGTATGATTATTATAAAGTAAAATAGGAGCATATTGATTGTTTACGTATGATTATTATAAAGTAAAATAGGAGCATATTGATTGTTTACGTATAATTATTATAAAGTAAAATAGGAGCATATTGTTTGTTTACGTATGATTATTATAAAGTAAAATAGGAGCATATTGATTGTTTACATATTTTATTTACATTATTCATCACTTCTGACGGTGGTGAATGACTTGTTTATGATTATCCTTCAGGAGAGCAGCCAGCGGCCATGCAGACTGGTGGAGGTACTACACCCTCCTTCAGTTTGGTGACACTGTTGGTAGTACTGCAGCTTCTGGCTCTCCTAGTACCACAGCGGTTCAGATGATGAAACAATGGAGGGAGGATGTGCGGTGTTGTGTGTGACGGAGCACCGGTCGCTTGGTCTGATACTCCTGCCGGGGATATAGGTCTATGGCCTTAACCCACCTGTTGTGTGTGTTAATGCCTCGCCCAGTGCAGTAGTAGTCTGGTGTTGAGAAGAACTTACTGAAACTTTATCCACCAACTGTGATGTGTTGTTTATAGTGTTGCGACATTATCCACTGATTATAATGTTCATTGTACTGGGAACTTACTTACCAAAAATATTCCTGCGTTTGTGTTAGAAACTAAACCAAACGCTGCCAGGAATGTGTGTGTGTGTGTGTAGGATAGGGACCATCATCAACACCATCCCATCATCCAGTATAATAGACTCTTCAGGTTTAGATAAAGCCTTTAGGACCAGCTGCAAGTGAACCTATAGCGTCTAGATTTAATATATGAGGGCTCGTGGTGGCCTCTCGGTAGCTACTGCTTTGAGTGTCTGGATTGTATTTCATGGATCAACTGTTTACTTTGTTTTTAGTTAACACCTTACCTGAGAGAAGGTATAATGTACCTTTTTTTTATACATATGTCACTAATTCTGAACTCCACTGTCTGACTGTGTAAGGGTGGAAGTATAAACGTATGTGTGTGTGTGTGTGTGTGTGTGTGTGTGTGTGTGTGTGTGTGTGTGTGTGTGTGAACCCTCAAAAGATAATAAATATTGCCACTCAGTAGGATATTAAAAATGCTATATACATAATTATTTTTTCGACGATGGGTATATATGTTATAGCTTAGAAGTAAACCTCGTACTACAGTAGTTATATGGTGTAAATATATAATATACTGTAATATAAGCTTTTTGACTGTAAGGAAAGCCAAAGATTTATTATATAAGATGAATCAATCAAAAAAATGACTAAAAAAAATAATGTTTCCTGTTTCCTATAAATAACACAAATACGTAATTATTGTGATGTATTTTAAATGATTTCTCAATGTTCTCTGTATTTTGTCTATTTTCTTGTATATTTAATTACTTCAATATTAATTAATTATTGTTTTGATACTATTTTCTTTGGTTTATAATGTGAGACGATTTATTTAACTACGGATTTGTATAATGTGTGAGATGTAAACAGGTGTAGAGGTAGTACAAACAGGTGTGTGTGTGTGTGTGTGTGTGTGTGTGTGTGTGTGTGTGTGTGTGTGTGTGTGTCAAGGCTTCAGACTAACACATGTACTGTATGTGAACTATAGCAAGTGTAGTCTGGGTCTCTCCCCGTTCCCCCCCTATCCTCCCTCCCCTCACAGGTATTTATACTCTACGTGAATTTGATTAAAGGTTTTGCTACTGAATGTGTTTTAATACCTCCCTTAGTTATCTTACACTGAAACCTCCATATAACGGATTTCTTCTTCCATATAACGGACTTCCCCTCCATATAACGGACTTCTCCCTCCACATAACGGACTTCTCCCTCCATATAACGGACTTATACCTCCATATAACGGATTTATCTCTCCATGTATGAAAAGGTGTTACTACTTCTACTCTTGATCTATACAGGTAAATTTTAATGTTTCTTTAACATCATCTAATAAGACAAATCTTCAACTTACAAGAAATTAGAATCCCGGTAAGTTAATGACGCTTAATAAACAGGTATTATTGTATCGATTATTACGAGTTAACGTTTAGGATCTTTCTCTCTCTCCATAGTTTCCTCTTTTGGGGTGATGAGCAATTGTTTTATTTTGGATGGAGTTTCCCTTTTTGTTTTTTGGGTGGGTGAAGGGAGGTGGGGGGAGGATGGAGGTGGCCAAGAAGTTTGTTCATCATTCAGCTGCGTCAAGCTCAGGTGTTGGCTTGTGGCTGATGTTGTGTTTTCCGACCCAACGCCCACCTTCACACCTGCCTGTCTCTCCTGTCTGTTTCACACACACACACACACACACACACACACACTACCACCTACATTCATATCTGCCTGCCACACACATTCACTCAAGCCCCTACCAACATCCCACATTTATGCCTGTCCGTCTACACTCACTCAAACGCCTACCTTAGCTGCCACGTACAGCACGGTAAAAAACAATTAACATTACACTCATCGTTCTTTATAATGTATTCTGAAACCCATGATGAAGAATTTTGGTAACGTTCCTCACTGAAATCACGTAGAACACTTTCACATCGCCAAGGACTTCCTCAGATCACGTAGGACTTCCCCAGGACGATCACGACACCCACAGATCGCGTGGGACTCCCTCATGACTACGAGGACTCCCTGAGGCCACGTAGGACTCCAAGAAATAGTCTAGGAGACCTTCGATTCACGTAGAAGTCCTACAGGACCCACAGGAATAGGACATACACAGATCACGTAAGACTTGCTTAGGATCTCTAGTACTCCCTCGTGTCATTTAAGACTACGTCAGATCACGAAGGTCTCCAAGGGCGTCTGGGACTCCCTTAGGGTGTCTGACGCTCCCTCAGATCACATAGAACTCCGCCAGGGTGTTCAGGACTGCCCCGGGACAACGAGGAGTCCCTAAGATCACTTACGACTCCCGCAGATCACGTAAGAAACCTTCAGGGTATCTAGGATTCCTTCAGATCATGTAGGACTCCCTCCCACGGACGGCGGGGGCCTCTGGGACCCTCACAGGGGCGGTGGGGGCTTTAGGGACCCTCCCAAAAGCTGCGGCGCCGCCATGGATCCTCCAAGGGGCGTCGAGGGCCCTAGATATTCTCCCAGCGGTGGCTGGGGCCCCAGGGACCCTCCCACGGACGCCGGGGGCCCTTGCGACCCTTCAGTGGTGGCGAGGCCCCTGCGACTCTCCCTGGTGCGGGGGACCCCTACGACCCTCACAGGGGCGGTGTAGCCTTAGGGACCCTCCCAACGGCTGCGGCACCGCCAAGGACCCTCCAAGGGGCGTCGAGGGCCCCAAGGACCTTTCCAGGAGTGGCGGGGGCCCCTGGAACCCTTCCAGAGGTGGCAGGAGCCCCAGGGTCCCTCCCAGAGGGGCAGCGATCCAGAGACCCTTCCATTGGCAGTGAGGGTCCCTGTGACCCTCTCAGGGGCAACGGGGTCCCCTGGTACCTTTCCAGGGATGGCAGTGCCCCCAGAGACCTTCCCAGGGTAGGCGGCGCCTCCTGGGAGACTCCCAGCGGCGGAGGGGGTCCCAGTGAACCTCTCAGGGACTGCTGAAGCCCCTAGGATCCTCCCAAAGGCAGCGAGGGCCCCAGCCAGGGACACTAAATGGGCCTCACTTTCAGGGGCCCTATAGCATACTTGGTCGTGGTGTCGTACATATTACATACGTCTATCAATTCCTTACTTAAATGTGATTGGTGGACTAAAATGTATACCCACCAAATTACAGCCAATAGGAGAAGAGAACAGTCAGTCAGAACAACACCCCAACTTATGTTTTCCTGCTGGATATTATTCTCCATTCCGTTGTTAAGGATGCGATAATACTGGAAATGTGATGATGGGCGTTGTAGTCACATCTCCCAGAGTTCTAAATAGCACAAAGACAACAACCGCCAGGGCTTGGGGTAGTTCTATATGCCCTGATGGATTCCTGTGTGATCTGAGGATGTGACTTTTCTCTCAGACTTAAAATTAAATTGTATTAACTAATAAATACGACCAAAAGCACACAAAAACACCAAACAATCACCTGGGAAACCCTAGTGTTGGTGAGTACAGTAATTAGTATTGAAAAATGTCATTAAAATCATCATACTCTGTAGTACCTGTAGCTTTATCGATATATTTAGGTTTTTCAGCAGTTAAGTTTCATTTTTACCAATTTCTACTCTACATATTAACTCAAATTGTTGACGTTATAAATTACAGTAAGTCATACCATGCTTCAACAACTCTTAAAGTCTCTCAGGGCGTCATCCAGAATACACCGTCCACCATTTACTGAGAGATAAGATAAATACTTCCCTAAAACAACCTTTATTACCCGACTCCACGTCACTCAACAGTATCCGAAAATTATAATGAAACGATATATAACTATTTTGTTTTTTTATCTCTGTTATCTATAAGAAGAACAGATAATACAGACCATTATCTCTAGTCCTTTACTTTTTTTAAGGTCATACAGTTCTAGGTTATAAGTTATTACATAAACTGATAATAATAAAATATATTTTCCTTTAACAAATAAATAATAATAATGATTGTCATAAACTGTTTTCTGATTTGTTGACTAATTAGTTGTAATCCAATTGCAGTATTTAACTAATTCTATATACTGTAGTACATCTAGTAACTATGGTAGGTGCATTAGCATCTGCCATACTGTTTGTGGTTCAGTTATGATGATATAATTAATATATTTACTTTTACTACATATGAGTCATCATCTATAACAGTGTTGTATAATGGTGCTTGAAACAATGAGATATAAAGTGATTACATAGATTTATTCTGGAGTTCTGAGTCATTATAATCAATGGCGTGGGTGTTGCAACAGATAAGTGTGGGATAGTGTTTTTTTTTTCAGGTGTTTTAAACAGGCTTGGTGGTGGTGTTGCTATGACAGTTGTCTGACCACTGCACTGACAGATATAGTGACAACGTTGAAAAGCTTGTCCAGAGTCAGCAGGTGTGTGTCAGCAGGTGTGAGTCAGCAGGTGTGTTGTCAGATCTGTGGGTATATAAAATTTTCACTTAGTTATAAACAAAATAATTCATAATTTATATATACTGTATATATATATAATTCCCAAGTTATTCAGTTAAACAATGTATATAAACTACAACTAAATTTAAAAAAAAAAAAGTTATGTTTTCTGTCTATTGTGATGTGAAGATAAAAAACCCAACTCATAGACTTTCCCTAAATACTAAAATATAATAGGATAATAAAAAAAATAGGTTGGTAGATGGCTGGATGGATATTTTAGAGACAATCCTATTCTTATATCCTATTACAACCTTAGGGTGCCAGAGTGCCACCAAAGACTTAAGACAACACGGCCTCCAAGTACAGTACAGTCGCCTGCACTTATACCTGGTACAGTGACTGATCAACTGGCAGAGTGACACGTATAAACAAGACACTGAAGGAAAATGAAGAGCTGGGAAACAAAAGATAATTGGAACTTTACTAAACACCAAAAAACAACCAAAACGCATTGAGGAAAAAATGTTTAACAAAAGAAATAATTGATGAGAGACATAGATATAATATAACCATTTAGGGGCAGAGTGGATACAGCATACTGAATACTAAGTCTCACTACACAAGGAGACAATTGTGGGTGTTTCTACATACTATACCACCTTCACTTCCCAACTCTAGTCAAGTACATTTTCACATCTGGGGCGACTGGAGGTTGACTTGAAACTAATGACTTTCAGGACAAGAGACAAGTTTTGTATCCACACAATGAATGTAATCCTCCCACCTCATTATATTTCTTTAGTAAACATATAACAATAGGTAAGGGGTAATAGAGTCTTTATGGGGTTATTAAGTGTAATTATCCCCCCCCACCCACTAATAATGTTACAGGTAAGAAATATAAGGTGCAGTGAACCCTCTATATAACGGACCCTCGATATAAAAGACCCCTCTATATAATGGACTTTTCTCTCCATGTAATCTATTAAATGGGGGTTTCACATCTAACGGAACCTTGATATAACGGACAATAATAATCATAGCAAAGATAACAAAACGTTGATACCATAGGAGATCAAGATGAAGTTGCTGATTAGGACCTCATACGGAAAACCAGTGTCCTCCTAGGTATCAGTATTACAAATAGCCAGTGTCCTCCAAGATAACAGTATTACCAATAGCTAGTGTCCTCCTAGGTATCAGTATTACAAATAACCAGTGTCCTCCAAGATAACAGCATTACCAATAGCTAGTGTCCTCCTAGGTATCAGTATTACAAATAGCCAGTGTCCTCCAAGATAACAGTATTACCAATAGCTAGTGTCCTCCTAGAGTGTCCTCCTAGGTGCTGCTGCCATAGTAGACCTTCACTTGGAGACAATTAATACGTGATTTCGTTATGGCTTGGGTTCTGGTGACAGGCTGCCATACACTCATTGAAGTTCATGAAATTATTTCCGTTGCCACCACACCCTCCGTATGTGAATCTGGTGAGAGAGAGAAAGAGTGAGTGAGTGAGTGAGTGAGTGAGTGAGTGATAGATTTCAATGTTAATGTTATTATTATATTTTTTTTGTATTATCATCATTATTAATATCACTATCAGTCATCATCATCAATCATCACTATCATTACCCTTCATCATTATTCCACTAATCAACAAAAGCACAATCATTATAACACACCTCGTCACCAACCACCTAATCTCCTCCTATCTAAAACAATAAATAAATCAGGTGAGAAAATTAATTAAAAAAAAAAGATTAAATTCTCCAAAAAATGAGGTTCTAAACAGGTAAATTGATTCAGGAAAGTCAACTCAGGTAAGTTTATGGGTCTACAGGCAGGTAACTCAGGTAACTTACGTGCGGCAGGTACCACTTTGGTGATCATAATACCAATTGATGAAGCGAGCCCGACACATGCCTGTCTGTGGGGGCAGGAAGCAAGTTGAACCATCTAGAGACGAAAAAGTATGAAAATAAGTGACAGTACCAGATAAGGCTTCATCATACTCATGGTGGTGGGGAAAGTGACAATCTATCATACTCATGGTAGTGGGGAAAGTGACAGTTTATGATCAAATACTTACAATTGTTTTGGGCACTTGCGCTGGGATACAGGAACATAGCTCCCACTATCATTATCATCATCATTGACATCTTCACTATAAAAAACAAACAAAAAAACATTAAGAACAAAATACTGTAACACATAAGTAACACGGAACATTGTTACTCCCACCCACAAGACAATAGGTAGCAGTAACTAAAATACAATATTTATTTATCAGTAAAGTCTTATACACAACTATTAACTTCATTAATATTACCAGAATTTATCATTATCATTATTCTAATAATTATCCTCGTCACTATAATCATCATCATCATCATCATCATCATCACCACAACCACCACTACTACTACTACTATTACCAACCACAACCACCACTACTAGCTACCATTACCACCATCACCAAAATACTCACTGAAATCATTAATTATTTCCTCGATTTATAGTTCAACCAGAGGGACTGACTGTATATCGCTTGTTCGACTTTGGGTGAACGTCTTAACAGGCCTCTCAGTGCTCTATTTAACGTCTTCATGGCACCCATACTCACCTCTATGGGATAGAACCGTGTCCTGACGCAGGAGTTTTCACCACAGCCTTGGTACAGACCTCAGGTAACTCACGCAACAGGTAATATAAACAGGTCAATCACATACACACACACAACAGGTAACATACACAACAGGTAACACACACACACAGGTACATACACAACAGGTAACACACACACAACAGGTAACACACACAACAGGTAACACACACACACACAGGTAACACACACACAACAGGTAACACACACACAACAGGTAACATACACAACAGGTAACACACACACACAACAGATAATACACATAAATTAACACACCTAAAAGCTTGTATTATAGATTATGTCTTTGATATGGCCTGTGTATATATATATATATATATATATATATATATATATATATATATATATATATATATATATATATATATATATATATATATATATATATATATATATATATATTATTCCTGTAATGATGTGTTATATTTACTATAATATAATCTAGTCACCTTACCCTGTGCTGTTAAGGTTTTAACTGTTATTATTTGTTCAAGCCCATCTTATTTCATCATTTAGTATTGTAACAAGCATTCTTTTCCTCTAACGACCATCTACATTGTTAAACGATCCACCGGCGGGTTTTGGGCGGGAATTGGCCTTATATATAGTGGTCCACCAACTGACAGAAGGCAGTTCAGTCTTCTTGTCATACAGTTCACATCCTTTGAGTGACACTCGTCACCTGTTATTTATACTTAATTTATTTGTGTTGTTCCTGTCGCCACCAATGTGGTATACCTATGTGAGTACCTATTTATGTCTCTATTTATGTCCATCAGTATTTGCTTCGTTACATTTAAGTAATTTAGTGTTGTTTCACGTTAGTTAATTTCAGTGTTAATTTTTATATGTTTATGTAGTGTTAACGTAATCCAATGCTTTATTTTTAGTCTTTTGATGTTTCGATGTTTAGTATCACTTGTGTCTTAAAAGTTTCGATGGTGAATCAATTTGTTGTGACAGCCTACGAGGCTCTTTATTGTGTTAATATTTAATTAATTAATTTCATAAACGTTTACTTTATTTATTTTTATTCCCGTTTAATTTACTTCACTTTTTTGTTTGGTTACGCCTAGAACCTGGATATTTAAGTAAATTAAGAGACGACGTATATATATATATATATATATGTGTGTGTGTGTGTGTGTGTATCTCTATCTATCTTGATAAAATCAAGTGTGCAAAGTGCTAGGAATCAAGTGTGCAAAGTACCAGGGGTCAAGTGTGCAAAGTATTAAGAATCAAGTGTGCCTGGTCAATCACGTCTCCAGCCTCAACATGACTATTGGCTAACGTATCATCCTATCACAACCGCTGCTGACTAATAGGCCTATCATGTTCATTGCTGGTTGACACGCGGGTGACTCTCCTGTGAATTGACACTCGCTTATTTAGATGCCCCCTCCCCCCCCTCCCCGGATCAATATTCAGTAATGGTGAGTATCTTTAACCCTTTAAGTCCTGGGGGAGGGGGGATTAAACCATCGTCCTCAAGAGAGTTAAACCATCGTCAAGGGAGTTAAACCATCGTCCTCAAGGGAGTTAAACCATCGTCCTTAAAAATTGTAGTAATCGATCAAAAAAGAATAACTGAAAACAACTCCGAAAAAAAAAATATTGTTATGATGGTTTCCGCTGTTTGTACTCTGTCAATAATCTGCACTGGGTCATTGTAACACTTTTTAATCACTGTTTTTCTTTAACTATAAAATACTCGATATAAGCTGGGGGGGTTTTTTTCACCATGAAGGAACTATGCTGTTAGATTGTTACTCATTGTCAATGTTATGCACGCGAGGACACCACCTAGCCGACGGGGCGGGAAATTTAGCATCTTACCGTGATTGTTCATGTGTATCCCCCCCCCCCCTCACGTTCAACTAAGCACTGTGTGTAGAATCCAGTCACTATCTTAAAATGCCAAGTATGCGTATTTCCGGTCACGTAAGGGGGGGGGGGGTGGGAGGCGGGGACACAGACAGGTGAAAACAACAGTGTCAAATGTTGGTTTCATTTTTCATAGTAAATATTGAATCAATGTTCGCTATAATTTCAACAAGAGTTAATGATAGATGTGTTGAATAATCGTATCATACATAATTTGAACTAAAGAAAGCATTGTAGAGATAAATTATATATCACACTAAATACTTTAAAAAGAAATTAATTTTTTGTGGGGAGGCCAAATGGGGATAACTGTTATGGTTTTATTAATATAACTTAAATATAAATTAAACGTCTCATATCTAAAGAACTGTACACTGTTAACCACCATGCTTAACTCATGAGCTATTTGTCCTCATAGAACTTTACTAACATAATACTGTACATGTTAAGAAATCAACAATAATATTCTTCTTTTTTTTCATTTACAAATCACAATATTCAAGTTTTTTACGCAATGATACAGGTGCCTGCTTGCGTCTCTATGCTCTCTTACACCTGCAGGTCGATAGCTGTTTTCTGGATACCTGTGATAATTAGCTCCCTTCACCCAGTACACGTTTTCCTGGACACCTGTGCTAATTAGGTCCTCTCACCTAGTACATATTTTCTGGATACCTGTGATAATTAGCTCCCTTCACCCAGTACACGTTTTCCTGGACACCTGTGCTAATTAGCTCCTCTCACCCAGTACAAAAGTTTCCAGTATCTCCGCTTTATCACAGGCAAACACTGACCACCAAATCAACAACTTCTTACATAACACTATACAGTACTGACGTTTTCCCTGTTGGTCGTCAGTGTTATCAAAAATTTCTTTTCCATCACTATTATCACTGTCCACAATGCCAACAAATTTACAGAAAATCATCAATAATCTTTACCTAAAATTATTTATTCGTCTGACTCATAAAATCATTATCAGTAACGAATAAAAAATGCAAAAGAAAAAAAGTCATATGGCAAAACGGAAAAAATCTGTCAATAAATATTTAACATTTTTTTTAAAGTTTGAAATCGCTCACGCAAGACATTGTACATTCTCTTATAATCACCAAAGAAAAACAAACACATAATCTTACTTTTTCTTCTTTTGTGTGAGTAGTGAAGATGTGAGGAACGATGAGGATATTTTGCGTCTTAGTGCGCCTAACTGTGAGTCAGTACTGCGCCAACTGGTGAATCAGAGCGAGAGAGAGAGAGAGAGAGAGAGGCGTCCTGCAGGGTGGATGACTGGGTGTGTCTGTGGCGGAGCGCTGAGTGGAGGCAGACATCCCTTGAGCGCTTATTTACACTACCACGATTGTTATGCTTGAGAAGGTTGCTGCAATATCCTTCTCGTCATGATGCTGGGCACGCACATAGTAAAATATGTGTCGCCGTCTCTATGTGGGGGAATTCGGTGTTTATTTATATACATATGTACAGTCGTGTGTATAATCCAGGCGACAGGTGTAGGAGGGAGTAGACAGGTGTGAACAGGAGGTAGACAGTAATAAGGAATCAGAGGAGTTGAGAGGAGGTAGTAATGAGAGGTATAGGAGGAGGTCGATACGTGTGAACAGTAATGAAGAGGTGCTACTGTCGATAACGTTTTATATGTATATACTCCAACCAATCACATATGTCCGAGTTCATGTCTGTCGATCATTTATGTTCACAATTCGCCTTATGTTCACTCGTATCCGCCAAATTACTGGGTATTACACAAGTTTATCATGCAAAGCTGAGAGTTAACCGTATACAGAGACAGACAGACAGACAGACAGACAACCCTACAGCTATGACGAGTACCCCAACACCGTCTCACCCTCTCTAGGAAGTATGTGCGCTCTCTGAAGGGTGATTGACAGATATCGAATAAGCTGGCGTATTAGGCGTCCAGAATTTGACAGTGAGTTGGGAATCAGTTTCATCTCTGTTGATAATTCACTAACTTGTGATTTTTTATTTTAGGAATGGAATGTTTTGTTATGTACTATAGATATGTATTGTGTTGTATATATACAGTGAAGCCTCTAGTTAACGGTGTATATGAAGAGAAAAGTCCGTTATATCGAGGGTTTATTAGATGTGAAACATGCTTCCACCTAACGGACTATATAGAGATGAACGTCCGTTATATCGAGGGTGAAATAAGCAGGAGTGTCTAATCTTCAGGTGATTCCATAGACGAGACTAACGAGTTTTATTCTTTCTCTTATATTTCTCACAAATGTTCCTCATACGATCATACTTTAAAATTACTAACTTTATATATGATAGGGTTGGGTTTTGTGTACCTGTTATTAAATACCCCCCAGCCTTAATCATCTAGTATTTACCTGCCTGTAAACCTTATATACACCTGTTCTCTCACCTGTTGTTAATTACTTAAGAAGAAATTCTATATACGAGCAGTGGAGGGTTAATTAATCTGTAGTTTTATCTGTTGTCTTTCGAACAGGTGAGAGATAATGGTATTGGGTAGGCTTCCACCTGTGTGTATCTGTTGTTGTTGTTGTTGTTTGTTTGGGTGTATGTGTGTTTGTGAAGATTAA